GGATACCTGGGCCAGGTCAATTAGGAAGGCCTGCTCGCTAAAGTGTTTTAGGGAGCGTTTGACAGTGATGAGGGCTGGTCATTTGACAGCGGACCCGTTACGGACGCAGGCAATTAGGCAGTGATCGCTGAGATCCTGGTTGAAGACAGCGGAGGTGTATTTAGAGGGTAAGTTAGTCAGGATGATATCTATGAGGGTGCCCATGTTAACGGATTTAGGATTGTACCTGGTAGGTTCGTTGATAATTTGTGTGAGATTGGGGGCATCTAGTTTGGATTGTAGGATGGCCGGGGTGTTAAGCATATCTCAGTTTAGGTCACCAAGCAGTACGAACTCTGAGGATAAATGGGGGGCAATCAATTCACATATGGTGTCCAGGGCACAGCTCGGGGCTGAGGGGGGTCTGTAGCAAGCGGCAACAGTGAAATACTTATTTCTGGAAAGTTGGATTTTTAGAAGTAGAAGCTCAAACTGTTTGGGCACAGACCTGGATAGTATGATAGAGCTCTGCAGGCTCTCTCTACAGTAGATTGCAACTCCACCCCCTTTGGCAGTTCTATCTAGATGGAAAATGTTGTAGTTGGGGATGGAAATTTCAGAATTTTTGGTGGCCTTCCTAAGCCAGGATTCAGACACTGCTAGAACATCAGGATTGGCTGAGTGTGCTAACGCAGTGAATAACTCAAACTTGGGAAGGAGGCTTCTGATGTTAACGTGCAGAAAACCAAGGCTTTTACGGTTACAGAAGTCAACAAATGATAGTTCCTGGGGAGTAGGAGTGAAACTGGGGGCTGCAGGGCCTGGGTTAGCCTCTACATCACCAGAGGAACAGAGGAGGACTAGGCTTTAAGAACTGGTCTTCTAGTGCGTTGGGTACAGAGAATAAAGGGGGCAGCTTTCCGGGCGTTGTAGAATAGATTCAGGGCATTATGTACAGACAAGGATATGGAAGGATATGAGTACAGTGGAGGTAAACCTAAGCGTTGGGTAACAATGAAAGAGATAGCATCACTGGAGGCACCGATTGAGCCGGTCTCGGCGTGTATGGGGGGTGGAACAAAGGAACTATTTGAGGTAGTTTTGTATAATAAGAACTAACTGGAACAGCAATAGGCAAGGCATATTGACATAGGAGAGAGCCATAAAGCAATCACAGGTGTTATTAGAGAGAGCTAAGGCAACAACTGGTAATGGCGATAAAGTTTGGGCCGAGGCTAAACAGATAAACAGGACAGGGTACCGTGTAAAGGAACAGTCCAGCAGGCATCAGCTGTGCAGCTGAGTGATCATAAGATCCAGTGAACAGCAATATGTGAGTCTGAGAGCAGTTCGAATTGGTGCCACAGCACAGGCGAGCAGGAAGAAGAAGGCTGTTGATTGCGTGTGCTAGTGGCCGGGGCTAGCAGATGGATCTTCGTGGTCATCGCAACGGGAAGCCTGTTGAAACCACAGACGATTACGTTGGCAGACCAGTCGTGATGGATCATCGGGGCTCCATGTTGACTCTAGAAGGTCCCGTCCGGTTGACAGAGAGGTAGATAGCTGTTAGATGTGCCTGACTCAAGGCTAGCTCAAGGCTGATTAGCCAACAACAACGTTCATTTGGTTGCAGCTAGTTAGTTACGATTGTCCAGTGATTCAGTGATTCCGGCAGAAAATCCGATAGGTTCTGGGTCGATAACGCGCTGTGCAGACAGTGAAAACTGGCCGATAATAGTCCAGGCTAGAGCTGGCTGGTAGGTAGTGCAGGCCACGGACAATGGTGAAAAACCACTAACGGTAGCTAATAGCAAGTAGCTAGTTAGCTGGCTACTCCCATTCGGTAGACAGAGAGGTAGATAGCCGGGATATGGGCTTGCTCGGGGCTAGCTCAAGGCTAAGTGGTGCTTGCTTCTGGGGCAGTGGTGATTAGCCTACAGCAACATCCATTCGACATCCATTCGGTTGCGGCTAGCTAGTTGCGATCCGGTGTTAAGGTTCAGTGATTCAGTTATTCCGGCAGAAAATCCGATGTTCTGGGTGAAAACCACTAACAGTGGCTAATAGCAAGTAGCTAGTTAGCTAGTTAGCTGGCTAGCTAGTTACAACTGGAGATTCTAGATAAAGGTGAGTAAATAATAGAATCCGTTCCACATTGAGTGAGACGGGTTGCAGGAAAGTATATTTAGTAGAAGGATGAAAAGTGTGATAGGGAAATATATACGTAAAATACAAAAAAATACAAAAAAATACAGGCTATTTACATGGACACACAAGAGACCACGACCACACTGCTACGCCATCTTGGATCATTTAAACAGGCTAGATATTGATAAGCTTCATGATAGACATGATAGACTGGCAATAGATAAATGGACATAAACTGGATATTTTCTCACAATCAATGTTCATTGTCTGTCTGTGCTAATGTCATTTTATCTACACTATCAGCTTTTTCTGAGGTGAATTGTCTGCTCTCATAAACACTTCTAACTACGTAATGAAACCAAAACCCCATATCCCCAAGTGACCACAGTAACTGCAATGTGTACTGAATACTTGAACTCAACGGTACCACCAAATTAACGTTTTGATGAACATATCCTTTACACAATCCATTAGGGACCCAAGGCCTTGTCTCGCAGGTCCGACGAGGTGTGTGAGCCGAGATGCAATATGTTAAGAATGGAATACAACTCGAGTCGAGGGGACTTTTTAAAAGGTTCGTCTTCACTTCTCTCTTGAGACGTCCACAACTAGCTTCCCAACCCCCCGAAACCAATACATCTCAGACTATAAATGCATTCAAAAAAATATCATCTTTGCTTTCAGGGAGGGTGTTACATGAATAACTGAACTGCACAAAACAACTCAGGCCTGAGGTTGTCTAGTTGCTGCAAGTAGAAAATCCTAGGAAATGTTATTTAATTGAAACAAGCTGTCTCCAATCAATCAATGTCTGGTTGTGCATGTGTGATTGGTGGGGGGATCGCCTGTGCCAGGGGAGGCGAATCTTAATCACATAAAGCCTATTATTTGACAGGGAATACTATTTGTAGATCAGTGATTTGACACCTTAATTTGCTCAAGCTGATCCTCTCCAATGGACTCAGAAGTTGTAGCTAAAAATTTGTCAATTTGTGGCAGTTAAAAGGGAGGGTCAATGAAACCAATGATGGAAGTATATTGTAGCAAATTCAATCCAACACCTTAACTGTACGAAAAAGGTTTGGACCACACACACACATACACACACACACACACATTCACACACACACTCTCACACACACCCAGCAGTAGCCAGCCAGTGCTAGCTAGCCAAGCCAACTTTGTTCCATTGTTGTTGAGTTTGTTCTATTGGCATGCAAACTTAATAATAAATTCTGCATCTTAGTATTTTTTATTTTCCTGTCACACTCACACTGTCTAATCCATACTTTGTGCTGCCAACCTAGGCTGTAAACACACCCCTTAAGCCCTGTGAATATTCTATGAGGGGGCGTGTACTTCTGGGTATGAAAAAGGAAAAACAAAAATCGACATTTTGTTGTTATTTGTTTTCCGTTATTACATTTCCAATTTTGACACAATAAATTAGAATACAAGTTGATTTCCAATTGTAATTTTGCAAATTCAGTAACCAAAACCGAAAATCTATCAGGTTTTCCCTTTTTCCACTTTGTCTTTTGAATCAAATTACCAATTAATGACGATACATGGACCAGATCATGCTACAGATGAAATACAATAGCTCCGTTGGTAGAGGGTTGTGGGTTCGATTCCCATGGGGGACTGGTATGGAAATGTATGTAAGTCGCTTTGGATAAGAGCGTCTGCAAAATGATGTAAAATGTAAATAACAGCTATTGTCAAAAGATTTATAAGACAAGCAGCTCCAATACTGAAGTCAATTAGGAGAGTTGAAAAGAAAAAAAGTTATATATTTTGTTGCGTTGTTTCCATACTTTCCACCCTCATACTTTTTTGAGACGTGTCACAGACGCTCTAATTGCATCGCCCTTAGTCAGAGAGAGAGGAACAGCTACATCAACAGTAATCATGTCTTTACACTGCCTACACGTTCTGAGATAAGAGTCAAGAGAGGTCACCCAGAGTTCTAGAACTCTAAATAGAACAGTTTACTCCAGACATTGAGTAAAGAGATAGAGATTGACCTGCGTTGAGTACAAAAAGACTGGAGACAAATAGTAAAGAGATCTGACAAAGCTTGAGACACTGCTGTTTGAATATAGAAAAACTCAATATGTGATCAGTACAGAACATACTGTTTTAAAGTTGCACTTGTATGGACTCCCAATGAAAAATACTACATTATCTAATTTACTAATCACCATCAGATTCCACGTTGCGTCAATGCTTAAGGAATCGTTTCATCAGAACTGTACATATGTCTTCTGAGAGTGTTGCATGTCCACAAAGGTATGTCTTCTTGGAGTGTTCCATGTCCACAAAGGTATGTATTCTGAGAGTGGCCCATGTCCACAAAGTATTGTCGTCTGAGAGTGTTCCATGTCCACAAAGGCCTATCCTTTTAATGCAAACAAAATATCGCCAACATCTATAGTGTGCATTAAAAAGCCCAAAAGCTTCTGTTACAAACTCGTATAGTTCGCATTCTCCAACGAAGGCCATCACAGACTGAAAGCTTAGCGAAATACAACTGTAAAATTGCATCTGATCGAAGTGACTGTGTGGAGACTCTTTTTTCATTAGGACCTCCCATAGTGACAACCTCTGAATCGGCACAAGTTTCATTGTTATGACTGAGATTGGGGTCAGTTAGCAACCCAAGGTGTCAGTCTTCTCCCTCCTCCAACTTAACCAGACTCCCCTGTTGTGATAGACATCTTGGTAGCCAGGTCATACTCATTGACCATGATTAAAAAATATAAAACATCAACAGCTTGGAGCTTTATCCGACTGTGTATCACAGTTTGAAATCCAAAACATACTGTATCAAACAACCAACTGTGTTGAAAAAATGACATGGAGCTCACCTTCTGGTCGTGGCTGTAGGCTAGGGCCCAATCCTCCTGTGTTGGGTGGAACAGGAGGCTTAGGATGTAGAAGCTGAGGCGATATTTCTGATAGCTCGCTCCTTCATCCGAGCTGATGAGCACACTACTCTCAAACTCAGGGTCTGTCAGCACCATTATCTGGAAGAGAGGGAGAGGGGGTGGGATGGAGAGAGAGAGAGAGAGAAGGGGGTGGGGGTGAGAGAGGGAGGAGATGGAGAGGGATAGAGAAAGAAAGAGAGGGAAGTTATGAGTAGAGAGTGAGGAGAGAGAGTGAGGAGAGAGAGAGAGAGAGAGAGAGAGAGAGAGAGAGAGAGAGAGAGAGAGAGAGAGATGGAGATAAATAGGAGTAAGAAAGAAAGAGAGAGAGAGAGAGTTAGCCATGTCAGCACTCCAGGTCTAGGGCTTGGCATGCATCAAGCTGCTACTAGCACTAACACCTTCACTTTGTTTTGGACTTCATTTTACAAATGTGCCTCTCGCCTCTGTTGCCATGGTTTTTTGGCCTCTTCCAGTGCACTCACAGGTCTGCACTTTGGTGCACTTTGGCTTTTAGTCACCCCTCTCCAAATACATTCCCTTTAATGAGATAGAGGTGGTTCAGAATACCCCTGCGGACCTATAAGTCAACAATGAGGGACCAAAACACAACTACAACAAAAAGTTGCCATTTTAAAGAATAGGAAATGTTTTATAGTATCCAAACTTGTGCTATAGTGTTTTGTACCACAGCTGCATAGCAAGGGACACCTCGATAACTTTGCGTTTACCATGCGTGACTACATGTGTAGACAATGCAATTTGTTTTGAATGATATCTACTGTAAATCTGTGATAAGAATGAACAAATATTTGTGCAATTAAGAATAATGTCTTTGTGGAATGCTCTATTTTACCACAGTGGGAGGAATCCTAATTCCATGCTAGGAATAATACTGTCTCTACTTTCATTTTGTCATGAATTCAATGAAAATGTAAATGTATTGCTGTACATTTGTTAGAAATGAGCCTCTCGAGAAAGCAATAACAGAGCAAGATCTGTAAAACTAAAATCATAATAGGAACACAAATGTACGTATTAAGTACAATTATGTAAATTACAGTACATGTTCATACTATAAAACCAAAGATACTGTGAAAGTACACAACATTGATACTACTTAATAATGATAAAGCCCTATGTTTGGAAGATTGTATGATATATAATATGAAACACCACATTGTAACAAAATCTGACCTTATTGGTGTACTATCTATATATTGGTATAATATGATTTATTTGTGGGGGGAAGTAAAGCAGACATTTACATTACAGTTCATTACTCTCAAAACACAGATACATCCCTAAAAAGCATTTCCACTATATAGAACCAGAGCCTTTTTTCTCAAACTAATCCATATATATCTGGATTAATAAGACATGCTTAGCTCAAATATGCTTTCTGTTTGTGATTTAATGCAATACAACATTAACCTGACACCTGGCTTTAATGATAATAAAACTACTAAAACCAGACAGAAAAAGGAGAAGGGAAAAGCATTACTTGGATAGTGCCACAGCCCGAACGGCTGTGTTTGTTTTCCCTGCAACAGTTTTGAATTGGAAAAAACAGCAGTGCATTTGTCACTGACAAAAATACCACCCTCTTTCCCCAGCTTTAACTAGAAATCCTCCCCACCCCTCTTTCCCCAGCTTTAACTAGGAATCCTCCCTGGTGGTGATTTAGATCAATTGTTTTTCATTAAGAGCCAATAAACAGACTGTGGATTATGTGCCAGTTTTTCGCTCTTTTTTATTTTTCCTTCTATTTTTTGTTGTTGGCCTGACCTTCCAATTCTGCCATTCATTACCCTCACTGAGGTACGAGGTACAGCGAAGGGCCCCCTCTATTTCTCCCAGTGTCTTAGGGCCTTGTCACATGTAATTTATAGCTTCTAAGGTAAAGTCTAAACTTTTTCCATAATATTGTATTAAGCGACAGCATTTATTATGAGTGGAAATTGCATTTCTGATTCATCTGTCAGGCCCTTTCTCTCTGTCTCACCACTTAGAGGGGAAAGTACAAATGCTAGACGTCCTTGAAGGGTCTGGGTGGATCTGTGTTTCTTCACCACTGAACAGGGAGACAGTGAACGTTTCTCAGCTCTCTAATAATAATTTAGGAGAGACCTTTTCAACCAGGCTTCCTTTATATTTACTCTAATACACATATTAAGACATATCTTTATAGAGGGCTTGTTGTATAGCTGTGGGCATAGCTGTACTCTGTATATAACCTATATACACTGTATCACTGTTGCATTTATTGGAAGGTGTAATATACACTTTATATGTTGAGAATAAAAGGAATTGGAGAAGTCTGGAAATGTATTAACTGCCAAAGATAATTGATCTTTAACCAACCTGATTTATTTTCCTGCACAGTAAACATTATTTGACATGTGACATATTCAAGAATAAACCCTATTCAAACATTATTTATCTTACAAAATGTAGAAAAATGTATTGGACAAATACCATAACTGGACTAAAAGCCTTCTCATAACCCTTCTCTCAGTATATTGAATTCATTTCCTTTCTGAGATAGTTTATGTGGATCATAGGGATATGGATATGTCCATCTGTTGCTGAATCAGTTTTAACAGGCACTAAGTTCCACGAGGGGAGCTTACGTAATAGTCACATCATCGTCGCCAGGTAATTAAGATTTCGCTCCACATCCACTTGCCAATTCCTCACCAATGCGTCTCCCAGCAACAAAGAGGAGAGAGGTTGGTAACAAAGATTAGATCAATACAGGTTGGAGGGATAACCTCTGCACGCTATCTGCTGATGTTCAGCTAGTCGGTGGGAGTCCAGCGACCGAGCATGCGTCATGCGACGGGTGCGATAGTCATTGCTGTGTTGTCTGAGGGGCTTCAGCCTGCTGTTGGACGGTGCTCGAGCCTTCTGATGACCACAAACAAAGGGAGGAGAGGAGGAGAGGATGCCTCACAGCAGATTAATCATGTCAAACACAGATCAATTGCGGCCTATCTGTAAGTGAGCACTCTATAGGGAAGGTATAAATAGGCTCATTTCCGGTGAATTGGGATATCTATCTAGCTACAACCATAGAAATATAATATCTATTAATTCTATGTCTATGTCTATTAATTATATTTATATGTCTATAAGCAGTGGTTGTGAGTCAAACTGTGCAGAAGACCTCCGAAAAATGCTGAACATGCATAAGGGTGTCTTCTTTAAAAGCTTGAAGATTAATGTCAGCACCATCATTCAAATCTATTATCTTCTCTTAGAAAGGTCAAGCCTCTGGCTTTTTTCCTTTAGACAACATGTGAGAATATAGTCGGTGACATTAACAGAATCTTGTTGTGTGGAAACCAATCGATTGTAATGCTATATTTACGTGGGAGAAAAAAACACCCTTGAGGCATTAAATACACAAATATATTGTGTTGGGTCATTACTGCCTCATCTCAACAGATACAGAGATAAGCCTCTTCGTGTTTTTCCCATGCTATACATGCAGATTTTATGCTTGGCCACTCAAATGCAATGAGGAAAAAACATCCCAGCTTATCCAGTAGAGAGCTGGGCTCATCCGTCGATAATGAGATAAGAGATAAGGTGAGGAGGATTGTGGATCGGTGGAAGCCAGAGGTCAATAGTGGTTGTCTACAAAACGTGGCCCTAACGAGGGCGTCCGGACATCATGTGGCTAGCTTCTACTACAACATAATTCCGTAACTGAGGTGAAGCAAACTGCAACATCCTCAGTCTATCACCATAAAAGGGAGATGATTAGGCCCTTGCAGCAAATCTGTTGTCTGTCCATGTATCTCATGTGTCTTTGGCTTGGTTAGCCTATATCCCTGTACCTGGGAAATGTGCTGGATGGGCATACTCTACCTTCAACTATAGGGTCTATCGCTAAGTCCGGACGGCCGGTGGGAAAATAGTCACAGGGTCAGACCAAGGTATTACTGAGTCCAAGGCTGACGCGGGATATGTCCATCAGCTCGGTATCCCACAAACCCTCTCTTTCCATGGAGGGATTTTCAGGGTCAGCGCTAGTGATCTATGGACTGATTTAACTCTCTTCGGGAGTCCCAGAAAGCCAGCTGGGGCCCTTTTCCCTTCACATTCCCACAGAGAAAAGTTTAATCATGGATGGTTTGCTAGTGAGGAACCTTAGCAGGACCCTTAAAAAGGTTCAGGAGAGACTGAGACACCTGTGTTATAATGTGGAATAGATGGTCTACTTCCCAAAGTAAAAAGAAACTTCGCTCAGAGAAGACACACCTACTTTTTAAAATTAGTTTTGCTTCAGCATTTATCTACAAACCAACAAGACTCTGTCTTGAATACGTTTTGGCTTTCTAACAGGTCTTTTTGGTCTCTGTGTTGTGTCATGGTAAATGTTCTGAGGCTATAACTAAGTTTTGCTTGGTAACAGTCTTGAACTGACTTTCTAAGTCCAAGCAAGCTGCCAGCATAAGGCAATGTAAGCTAAATAAGGTCATTAAACTTTGGCCATCTCACAAATTACAAAGACATTTAAACGCTTGAAAGAAAATATTTATTCAAACCATATTTATTTTATTTTATAGTTAGTCTACCGTCTAACCTTCACTTTGAGTTAACATTTGATTTGATCAGAAATAACAAATAGCGACAGCAGAGAATGGACAATGAACAATTCAGTTCCAGTTAATTCAACTAAATGTAATTAAATCCTTCTAAGTCTTAGACATTATTGTGTTATTGAAAATCATTATTTTGAAGTTTGTCTTACCTTTCTCTTGTTGGATGGACAGACATACAGGTAACTCAGCACCGTCTTAGATCCCACTTTGTCATTCATCCTCTCATAGGTGGATCCATAGTCTGTTGATCTGTAAAGGGAAAAAATGTGTTTAGACTGAGAGAAATACAGACAGACAGACGTACAGACTTATAGACAGCGGTTATGTACCAACACCTGTTTTCAACCACAACCACATCTTAAGGTAGGTTTGTGACCTAATTCAATGATCTTGGCTTTGAACCATGTGAAATAGCCCTGTTATTGTGCATCTTAGAGTACTTGGCTATCTCACCCTTGTAACTACAGGAATCTAGCGTGCTCCTATAACATCCTATAACATGCAAACTAAATATACAACCATGTTGCACCGGGCAAAAACCATTCCTGTTTTATAACCCCCGCGGACCATTCTTGATACACCTGGGAAACTGTTGAGCGTGAAAAACCCAGCAGTGTTGCAGTTCTTGACACAAACCGGTGCGTCTGGCTCCTACTGCCATACATTTTACATTTACGTCAGTTAGCAGACACTCTTATCCAGAGCGACTTACAAATTGGTGCATTCAACTTATGATAGCCAGTGGGACAACCACCCAAGTTTTATTTTTATTATTTTTATTATTATTATTATAATTTTTAACGGGGGGGGGGGGGGGTGGATCGGATGTCGAAAACCTTCTTTTCAAATTGGTTGACAAAGTCATCAACAGAGAGGGAGGAGGGAGGGGGAGGAGGAGGAGGATTCAGCAGGGAGGAGAAGGTGGCAAAGAGCTTCCTAGGGTTAGAGGCAGAGGCTTGAAATTTAGAGTGGTAGAAAGTGGCTTTAGCAGCAGAAACAGAGGAAGAAAATGTAGAGAGGATGGAGTGAAAAGATGACAGGTCCGCAGGGAGTCTAGTTTTCCTCCATTTCCGCTCGGCTTTCCGGAACCCTCTTCTGTGAGCTCGCAATGAGTCATCAAGCCACGGAGCAGGAGGGGAGGACCGAGCCGGCCGGGAGGATAGGGGACATAGAGAGTCAAAAGATGCAGAAAGGGAGGAGAGGAGGGTTGAGGAGGCAGAATCAGGAGATCGGAGGGAGAAGGATTTAGCAGAGGGAAGAGATGATAGGATGGAAGAGGAGAGAGTAGCGGGAGAGAGAGAGCGAAGATTGTGACGGCACATTACCATCTGAGTAGGGGCAGAGTGAGTAGTGTTGGAGGAGAGCAAGAGAGAAAAGGATACAAAGTAGTGGTCGGAGACTTGGAGGGGAGTTGCAGTGAGATTAGTAGAAGAACAGCATCTAGTAAAGATGAGGTCAAGCGTATTGCCAGCCTTCTGAGTAGGGGGGGGCGGTGAGAGGGTGAGGTCAAAAGAGGAAAGGAGTGGAAAGAAGGAGGCAGAGAGAAATTAGTCAAAGGCAGACGTAGGGAGGTTAAAGTCTCCCAGAACTGTGAGGGGTGAGCCATCCTCAGGAAAGGAACTTATCAAGGCGTCAAGCTCATTGATGAACTCTCCAAGGGAACCTGGAGGGCGATAAATGATAAGGATGTTAAGCTTGAATAGGCTAGTGACTGTGACAGCATGGAATTCAAATGAGGAGATAGACAGATGGGTCAGGGGGAAAAGAGAGAATGTCCACTTGGGAGAGATGAGGATTCCTGTGCCACCGCCACGCTGACCAGATGCTCTCGGGGTATGCGAGAACACATGATCAGAGGAGGAAAGAGCAGTAGGAGTAGCAGTGTTTTCTGTGGTAATCCATGTTTTCGTCAGCGCCAAGAAGTTGAGGGACTGGAGGGTAGCATAGGCTGAGATGAACTCTGCCTTGTAGGCCGCAGAACGGCAGTTCCAGAGGCTGCCAGAAACCTGGAACTCCACATGGGTCGTGCGCGCAGGGACCACCAGATTAGAGTGGCAGCAGCCACGCGGTGTGAAGCGTTTGTATGGCCTGTGCAGAGAGGAGAGAACAGGGATAGACAGACACATAGTTGACAGGCTACAGAAAAGGCTACAATAATGCAAAGGAGATCGGAATGAAATTAACTAAATATCTGAGAAAGCGAGAGCGGGGCCTCCCTCATTTCGTTTCACTGAAACACTCAAATATAACTCTCCCAACTTCCACTTTAGAAATTATAATTGTTGTAAACTACAGCGGTTCAATATTTTCTAGGAATAGACTCTAACTTAGTTTATTCAGCTAGCTAACTTGGTACAGTATTCTTCCGTGAAAACCGCCCAGGGCACCGTATCCTATGACGCAATAGCTAACTAGCATGCTAGCTTCCAATAACACACGGTTTAGCACCAATACTCGGTTACAACAAACTACCAATAGTGTGTTAACACGCTAAACAGATCATTCGTGTCCGTGTCTAACGTTGTGTTCAAAATCACTTAATTTTTGTCTTGCCCATTCACCCTCTGAATGACACACAATCCATGTCTCCATTGTCTCAAGGCTTAACAATCCTTCTTTAACCTGTCTCCTCCCTTTCATCTACACTGATTGAAGTGGACTTAGTAAGTGACATCAATAAGGGATCATAGTTTTCACCTGGATTCACCTGGTCAATCTATGTCATAGAAAAAGCAGGTGTTCTTAATGTTTTGTATACTCAGTGTATGTCTAAAGATAAACAGCTGTAACATCGCACTGCTTTCAATATTATGGAATGAAGATTTAACATATTCTGGCAAATGTATTATGATATTAGTGAAGAAGAACAGGGCTACCTGTCACGTTCGTTGATGAACGGGTCAGACCAAGGCGCAGCGTGATATGCATACATGTTTATTTGAAACGAACAAACACACAACGAAACAATAAACTAACGACACGTGAAGTCCAAGGTACACAAACAACATACCTCACACGGAACAAGATCCCACAACTACACAGTGCCAATAGGCTGCCTAAGTATGGTCCCCAATCAGAGACAACGAGCGACAGCTGCCTCTGATTGGGAACCACACCGGCCAACATAGAAATACACATACTAGAACCCACATAGAAAATATTCCATAACAAAGAAAATACACACCCTGACTCAACAAATAAGAGTCCCCAGAGTCAGGGCGTGACACTACCTGGCTGGCAACGAGCACTCTGCAAGCATGCTGCCCTTCAAAGAGATGGCACAGTGCAGACAGAACATGCTTTCCATCCGATTCTGCAACGACCGTTAAAAATAGGCCATATGATTTTGCTTGCTCTGGACTCCAGAGAAGTGACATGATACAATGCATTCGGAAAGTATTCAGACCACTTCCCTTTTTCCACATTTTCTTACGTTACAGACTTATTCTAAAATGGATTAAAATATATATATATATCCTCATCAATACCGCATAATGACAAAGCAAAAATAGATTTTTAGAACTTTTTGCAAATGTATAAAATATTCAACACAGAAATACATTATTTACATAAGTATTCAAACCCTTTGCTATGAACCTCAAAATTGAGCTCAGGTGCATCCTGTTTCCATTGATCATCCCTGAGATGTTTCTACAACTTGTTTGGAGTCCACCTGTGGTAAATTCAATTGATTGGACATGATATGGAAAGGTACACACCTGACCATATAAGGTCCCACTGTTTGACAGTGCATGTCAGTGCAAAAACCAAGCCATGAGGTCGAAGGAATTGTCCGTAGAGCTCCGAGACAGGATTGTGTCGAGGCACAGATCTGGTGAAGGGTCCCAAAAAATTTCTGCAGCAGTGAAGGTCCCCAAGAACACAGTGACTTCCATCATTCTTAAATGGAAGACGTTTGGAACCACCAAGACTCTTCCTAGAGCTGGCCGCCCGGCCAAACTGAGCAATCGGGGGAGAAGGGCCTTGGTCAAGGAGGTGACCAAGAACCCGATGGTCACTCTGACAGAAGTCCAGAGTTAATCTGTGGAGATGGGAGAACTTTCCAGAACAATCTCTGCAGCACTCCACCAATCAGGTCATTATGGTAGAGTGGCCAGATGGAAGCCACTCCTCAGTAAAAGGCACATGACAGCCCGTTTGGAGTTTGCCAAAAGGCACATAAAGGACTCTCAGACCATGAGAAACAAGATTCTCTGGTCTGATGAAACCAAGATTGAACTCTTTGGCCTGAATGTCAAGCATCACGTCTGGAGGAAACCTGGCTCCATCCCTATAGTGAAGCACAGTGGTGGCAGCATCATGCTGTGGGGATGTTTTTCAGCGAGAGGGACTGAGAGACTAGTCAGGATCGAGGGAAAGATGAACGGAGCAAAGTGCAGAGAGATCCATTGATGAAAACCTGCTCCAGAGCGCTGGGGACCTCAGACTGGGGCGAAGGTTCACCTTCCAACAGGACAATGACCCTAAGAACACAGCCAAGACACCGCAGGAGTGGCTTCGGGACAAGTCTCTGAATGTCCTTGAGTGGCCCAGCCTGAGCCCGGACATGAATCCGATCAAACATCTGAAAATAGCTGTGCAGCGACGCTCCCCATCCAACCTGACAGAACTTGAGAGGATCTGCAGAGAAGATTGAAGGGATCATAGCTTTCATCTGGATTCACCTGGTCAATCTATGTCATAGAAAAAGCAGGTGTTCTTAATATTTTGTATAGTCAGTGTATGTCTAAAGACAAGCAGCTGTAACATCGCACTGCTTTCAATATTATGGGATGAAGATTTAACATATTCTGGCGAGTTTATTACGATATTTGTGAGGAAGAACAGGGCTACCCGTCGGGCAACAAGAACTCTGCAAGCATGCTGCCCTCCAAAGTGATGGCACGGTGCAGACAGAACATGCTTGCTCTGGACTGCAGAGAAGTGATATGATATATCCCTAGTTGATATTGGCTGCTAACATGAATGACTTTCAGCTCAAAATGCAGGTGTAAAAAACAGTTTATTTCCTTAGCCTATCTTTTGTTTTGAAAATGCATCACCGTTTATGGCTGTATTGACATGCTACATTTTTGCACTGATTGTGTGTGCATGTTCGAGTGAGCCTAAGAATAGCTACCATATGCCCATGATTACCTAATTATTTCTGTCTGAAGACTGAAAAAGGTCCACACCCACTCAGCAGTAACCCCCTTCGGATGTGCAGTGCAATTTACATTATGAATGAG